GTAAGTTGATAGCAAGTGAGTTGATAGCAAGTGAGTTGATAGCAAGTGAGTTGATAGCAAGTAAGGCTGATAGTAAATGAGGCTGATTGCGCGCAAGTGAGTTGATAGCAAGTGAGTTGATAGCAAGAGAGTTGAAAGCAAGTGAGTTGATATCAAAAGAATTGATAGCAAGTGAGTTGATAGCAAATGAGTGGATAGCAAGTTAGGCTGATGGCACATGATTGTAATTGAAAGTGAGTTGATAACAAGTGAGTTGATAGCAAGTGAGTTGATAGCAAGTGAGTTGATAGAAAGTAAGGCTGATAGTAAATGAGGCTGATTGCGCGCAAGTGAGTTGATAGCAAGTGAGTTGATAGCAAGAAAGTTGATAGCAAGTGAGTTGATATAAAGAGAATTGATAGCAAGTGAGTTGATAGCAAATGAGGGGATAGCAAGTAAGGCTGATGGTAAATGAGGGTGAATTAAAGAGAGTTGATAGAAAGTGAGTTGATAACAAGTGAGTTGATAGCAAGTGAGTTGATATCAAGTGAGTTGATAGCAAGTGAGTTGATAGCAAATAAGAGGATAGCAAGTAAGGCGGATAATGAATGGGGGTGATTGAAAGTGAGTTAATAGCAAGTGAGCTGATAGCAAGGGAGTTGATTGCAAGATCCGAAGATATTACACTAATAAGCTTTCTACACAACCTTATTTCAAATCTTGATAAAGAATGACGCACTAAAGTGTCGGCAACTACATCCCACACAAAATGACTAAATAACAAGTATCTCAAAAATCTTAAATATTCAATATTTTAGTTGGACATCTTCTATTTATTGAACTGTGCAAAACTTTGATTCTGAAAGAAAGAAATATAGATAAAAATAACTAATAAGAATTCATTTCTTAGAAAATAATCAAAATTATATTTATATATAAAATGTAAAAATGTTGTAAAGGTGGGTATGGTGTAATTGTTACAACTATTTTACAGGGAAGTTAAGGGAATTTTACCTTAAAAAAGGTTTACAAGACCAATTTTACCTAAAAAACACCCAGGGTGCAGCTCGATTTTTTTCACGAAAATTTCGCAGAGCGCAGGTGGTTATTTTACTTAATTGTCGTAAAGACGTAAAGTAATTGACTTAAAGTGGCTGAACGTCCCTATATTGCATGGGGAGAATCATTGGTCGGTATGTAACAAATCTAGACGCTAATTCTATAACGATTACTTTACTCAAAGTCTAATGAGATCCCATTTAACTAAGTCTCTAGCCAAAACTCAAGGCTCTGTATACGTCCGTTCTAATCAACAAATGACATTCAACTACTTTATTTATAAACAGGTAAAATGAACTGACCGGGCTAGCCCGGCTGGGTCAACATACAAATAGTTAAGATAATAATATTATTAATACAGATAACGAATTATAATTGCACATCAGGGTAGAATATACTTCACATCACCGGAGGGGGGATTGTCGAAGTCTATCGGTTATCGCAGATCAACTTTCATTTTGGAGTCTATATACTGGACTGGAGGGACTTTTTTCATTTTGGAGTCCGTACACTTGACTGGAGGGACTTTATTAATTTTGGAGTCCGTATACTGGACTGGAGGGTCTTTATTCATTTTGGAGTCCGTATACTGGACTGGAGGGACTTTATTTATTTTGTAGTCTGTATAGTGAACTGGAGGGACTTTATTTTTTTAGGAGTCCGTATACTGGACTGGAGGGACTTTATTCATTTTGGAGTCCGTATACTGGACTGGAGAGACTTTATTTATTTAGGAGTCCGTATACTGGACTGGAGGGACTTCATTCATTTTGGAGTCCATATACTGGACTGGAGGGATTATATTCATTTTGGAGTCCGTATACTGGACTGGAGGGACATTATATATTTTGGAGTCTATATACTTGGACTGGAGGGACTTTATATATTTTGGAGTCTATATAGTCCGTATACTGGACTGGAGGGACTTTATTTATTTTGGAGTCCGTATACTGGACTGGAGGGACTTTATTTATTTTGGAGTCCGTATACTGGACTGTAGGGACTTTATTCATTTTGGAGTCCGTATACTGGACTTGAGGGACTTTATTCATTTTGGAGTCCGTATACTAGACTGGAGGGACTGAATTAACTGAACTGGAGAGGTCACTAAACTTCCTCCAGCCGGTTGAAATTCTGAATCTTTAGAATCATCTCATGAATCTTAACATTTGAATCCGTGATTTAGGATTTGAACCGGCTGGAGGTAAGTTAGCGACCTCTCCAGTTCAGTAGTTCAGGTACCTTACTAAAATTCATGAAATTCAGTCCCATGGTATAGAAACATCGGTTAGAATTAAAATCTAAGTGATTAATTCATATTTGTTTATGCAGAGCGAACATATGCAATGTTTTTCGCGAACACTCCCTTTTTACTGACAATTGTTTTTACATTTGTCCACTTTGTTGCGCATTTGACCTTTTTTCTTCATTTCATTTATTATTCACGGCCCCGCAGTCGTCTTATTCAAGATTCAAGAGGTTTTAACGAATTCGAACAAATTGAGCATTTTTGTCGATTTACGATAAATCACACGTAAATTTTACAATTTGTTTTCAAATTAATATTAAAATTAATTAAAGATTACACCCATAACAGCGATGTTCTTACCTTCAAGGCTTGATGCAAACAGCTGGATGTTGGCCTCCACGATCCTCTATCTATCTATCTATCTATCTATCTATCTATCTATCTATCTATCCAGCCTCTACAATCTTCTATCTATCTATCTATCCAGCCTGTAGGTTTCTTCTATCTATCTATCGAAGCAGCCTCTAAATGGTATAACCTTTTATATATATATACATATAAATCTCTATCCATGCTATCTATCTATCACTTAAAAATGAATGGTAATCGAACGTATAGCAAGCATAAGAAAGCAACTGGTAGCAAAAGTAAAGAATAATGTTAAAACGGATTGTTCGTGTTATACTCGTTGCATTATATTTGTAATGCATTTCATTTTTCATGCCAGCAACGTAATTTTCTCTAGCATCTCTTAAGTTGCATTAAGCATTATAAATAGAGATGAGTACGTTCGACATTTTTCATTTCGTTCATTCATTGCTCGTGAACGACCCATTTCGTTCGCTTTTTTCAATCGGTTAAAAAAATCGTTTCGTTCGTTCTAAGAATTATCGTTCATTTTCCATCTATTTCGTTAGCTTTCCCAATGAACGATCGTTCAGTAAAATCGTTCGTTCGGTAAAATCGTTTGTTCAGTAAAATAGTTCGTTCAGTAAAATAGTTCGTTCAGTAAAATCGTTGGTTCAGTAAAATCGTTCGTTAAATAAAATTGTTCAGTAAAAAAACGGTAGTTTTCTCAAAAACATGTTCGAGAAAAATCGTTTATTCAGTAAAAAAATACTGTTTTTTAAATGTTGTTCCAAAAATTGTTCATTAAAATTCATTTCAAAATCTCTTGGAAAAAAGTAGGAAAGCGATCAAGTTCACTCGGAACGATTTTAAAAAATTTTATATCGTTCATTTTTTTGTTCGTTGTTAAAAAATTATCAATTTAATTTTCTCTGAACGATCCATTTCTTCCATCGTTTTTTTCCTTAAAACTTTCATTCGTTCAAAAAACCGATGCTCATCTAATCGCAATTATGAATACGAATTTAAATTTGAGGGTTAGATCGAATAAAGTGAACTAGAAAATAGTTGAATTCTCTTTGTCATACTTTTTTCTTATCTTTTATGGAATGTTGCAAAGGAGTTGGTAATTTGAAAAAGTAAGACTTTTAAGCAGAAAATTGTTATATTTTTAAGCAGAAAATTGTTATATTTTTAAGCAGAAAATTGTTTTATTTTTCAAGTACGGTGGTAGGCGATACTATCAATATAATGAAGACGATTTTTTTATTTACGTTTAAAGTTATTAAAAAGCCTCTTTAGAATTACAAGTTTACAATTAATAAGAGAGAATCTTTCTAGGTTCTCTTTGTTTCCATTTTTTGTGTATCCATGCTGTTTAAAAGCTTGATATAAATTAATATTTGAATCGAAAGTCGTCTTTATTATATTGATATAATCGTTTACCACCGTAGAAAATAGAAAGATTTTCAAGCAGAAAATTGTTATTTCTTTAAGAAGAAAATTGGTTTATTTTCTCAAACAGATAAGATTTTCAGGCAGGAAGTTACTAAATGAGAAAAATCAAATTCTTTAATTTATTTTCTTATAAAAGTAAAACTCTTGCATAATTTTTAAGAGTTTTTAGCCATTTATTTAACACACTACAGCGGATACTAAACATTAACAGGGTCTGCTTGTTTAAGCTGTAGATACTTGTTCCAACTGCTGCAGATACTAAACATTAACAGCTGGTCTGCTTGTTCAAGCTGTAGAGACTAAGCATTAATTCAGTGTCTGCTAGTTAAAGCTGCATATGCTAAACATTAACAGGGTCTGCGTGTTAAAGCTGCATATGCTAAACATTAACAGGGTCTGCGTGTTAAAGCTGCATATGCTAACAATTAACAGGGTCTTCTTGTTCAAGCTGCATATGCTAAACATTAACAGGGTATGCTCGTTCAAGCTGCAGATGATAAACATTAACAGGGTCTGCTTGTTCAAGCTGCAGATGCTAAACATTAACAGGGTCTGCTTGTTCAAGCTGCTGTAGATACTAAACATTAACAGTGTTCAAGCTGCTGTGGATACTAAAAATTAACAGTGTCTGCTTGTTCAAGCTGCTGTAGATACTAAACATTAACAGGGTATGCTCGTTCAAGCTGCAGATGATAAACATTAACAGGGTCTGCTTGTTCAAGCTGCAGATTCTAAACATTAACAGGGTCTGCTTGTTCAAGCTGCTGTAGATACTAAACATTAACAGTGTTCAAGCTGCTGTGGATACTAAACATTAACAGTGTCTGCTTGTTCAAGCTGCTGTAGATACTAAACATTAACAGGGTTTGCTTGTTCAAGCTGCTGTAGATACTAAACATTAACAGNACGTTAACAAGGTCTGCTTGTTCAAGCTACAGCAGATACTAAACATTAACAGGGTCTGCTTGTTCAAGCTGCAGATGATAAACATTAACAGGGTCTGCTTGTTCATTCTGCAGATACTAAACATTAACAGGGTCTGCATGTTTAAGCTACTGCAGATACAAAACATTAACAGGGTCTGCATGTTCAAGCTGCTGCAGATATTAAACATTAACAGGGTCTACTTGTTCAAGCTGCTGCAGATACTAAACATTAACAGTGTTTGCTTGTTCAAGCTGCTGTAGATACTAAACATTAACAGGGTCTGCTTGTTCAAGCTGCTGTAGATATTGAACAACTTTCTTCCACCAGCAAAACTGAAATATTCTAAAGTTAAAAAAATACTTTTCTGTCAAACAAAGACGACTCAGATTCGTTTTTTTTCAAAAAACTTAGATATTATTTTAAATACGGCTTAAAATAAGTTTTTCATCTGTTTTTATCTATATAATAAAACTTAAGACATTCGTATATATATATGTTGCCTATAGATGGCCAAACGACTGGACCGATTGGGCTGAAATTTTTTGTGGACACTCATGGGTGACCGTGGGGTGTTCTAGGCAAAAAGAAATTCGAAATTTTTTTTATTTAAAATTTTTTTTTTTTTTAATTTGTTTTCCACGGGCAACGCAGGGCCCTTCAGCGAGTGTCCTATAAATTTTAATCAAGGTTCACATTAATATTTCAAAAATGAATGAGGAATTTTTAATTTGATCACAAACACTCGTAGGAAATGCCACCTTCTACTTGAACAGTGTAAGTGCAGTGACTATCTACAGGGTGTTCCAATAAACATGTGAATTAAGAGACGAATTTAAATTGTCTTTGTTCAAAGGCCATAATAAAGTTACGTCTGCTCGAGGATATTTTATGTAATCGACAAAAGGCTGGTTTCTTATTTTGCAAAACGTTTTAAGATGTTCTGAAACATTTCTTTAAGATTAACAGTGAAGAGGAACACTGAACAACTGAACTGTGTTTTTAAATCCGGATATCATTGTAGGTATCACCATACTAAACCATCCTAATAATATCTACAGATATCTTAGTTGGTATTGCAGTACTATAAACTATCCTAGGGTCACCCACAAAGAATAATACTTCAATGACGACCTAAACGCATTCAAAGATATGAGCGGCAAATTAGGTCCTTTGTCTAAAATATATTCTTTTAATGATATTATAAATAATTTGGCAAAAAAATGAATAAGTTTATGTTTGCATGGAACCAAAAGTGTCAGAAAAAAGACTTGATAGATTTCCTACAGTCGTCTCTGAAGTCTTATCCTTTGTGGGTAACCTTGTACAAAGATCAAGATATCAAAATCGTCATTAAATTCCCATGTTTATTGGGACACCATGTGCAGTGTGTCCCACGAAACATAACAGTTGGTGAATAGTTTTGAATGTCTTCTTCCATATGCTGTATTAGATATAAAAGACTTTTTGCAGTTTATTTTGTTTATATTATTTTCTTTGGTAACAAACAATTTGACATATTATGGAAGAAGAAATTCTAAACTATTTCAGCATCTGTCATGTTTATTGGGACACCCTGTATGCTAACCTAGTCTAACCTGGAATATTCTTTTAATCCCAAAAATGAGATAAATTATATTTCCAATTATCCACACAATTTTAAATTTTAAATAAGTGGGTTCCAAAGAAAGACGACATTTAAATCTGACAATTTTCCCAATTTAGGAACAAGGATTAAAGCTGACCTGGAAACTGTTTCTAATTGTGACAGGTAGCTGGTGAGGTTCACTTAAACCTCCCTGAAATAAAAAACTTATAATTAAACTCAGAAAAGCAGCAATTTTAGTATTGAAATAATCATCAAAAGCAAAGTTATTCTAATTTATAAATTCATAGCATAAAAAGAATTTAGAAAGAATAAAAATCATCAAAATGAGCTTTTTTTAAGAAGAAAATTGCGGATGTGTTGAATTTAATTTCAAGCATTTACTCCGAAACTACTCATCTGATTTGTTTAAAATTTTAAGGTCTGATAGAAATAATAAATTCCGGCACTTTTGCTTTTCTACTTTTGAGTAAAAAAGAGTTTTGCAGCTTTTTTAAAGGTTTATTAGATTGTCTATCAAATGAAAATTCTAAAATTTCATACATATTTGTTGAAAAATGAAATTACTAAAAAAAATGCTTAATTTTATGGAAGATCTTTCTATTCACCCTTTTTTTTGGGCTCACCCTGTATTCTGAAATTTCAATTATATTATATGGGGTGTCCCAGTAGACATTTCTTTAAAAAAGAAAAAAATATAAACAATTGTTGTATCTACTGATTAGTGATTACCTGTATTAAAGTAATCTCTTTTTTATGAGATTCCACAGCTTTATCAATATTTCCTTTCTCAATACACTCAATATTCTCCATCTCCAGAGCAACTAGTTTATCTGCTATCTAAATTAATGGGACTGTAGATGAAAATTCAAGCATGACCCCTGATTCTCAAAGGTACCCTAGATATACACCAGGGAATAAGAATAAAGGGAATGGAAATGGTACTGGTCTGGCATGAGAAAGCCAGTCGCACTGCTTTGCAGACGGGTTCCTTGTTTTTAGCGCATGCGCCCGAAACACTATTTAAACCCATACAGTCAAGGAAGGTGCAGAACCATAGATAAATAAATAAACATAGATAGCTTATGTACGCAAAATCACCAAGAATTGTACAGTCAGCGAACTCATACTTCAAGGGGTCAAAGTGTACTTCAATGATATGCGGGGTGGTTTGGTGTTTTAATGGATTTCATAAAAGAGTGTAAAATAACTCCGGGAATGGAACTATTTGAACAACAATATTTCACTGAGCAATATATCATATTGACGAGAACTGAAGAAGGACATGAGACGGACTAAACTAACTTAAATTTCTCTCTACAGAACTCATGAACACCACAAGTACTCAATGACATAAGAACAGCCAATGTTCACAACCGACCTAGTTAATCTATATTATAGGAATATCTTTAAAACATATCTGTACATTTATATCTTTCAAGATGAAAAATGTCGTCTTATGCGCAATCTATCTTTATCTATGTTCAGAACAATGTCGTCAATGAAAATTAAGCTTGAAAAACGAATAATTTATTATGAATTTGAATCAAATTATATTATTTGCATGAAAATTTCGCTTATACTGTTGACTTATAAATATACATGTTATATATATTTATATAATAAACTTTTTTTTAAAGTAATTAATATTACACAAATGTATTCTCCTAGACTGTACAAATGCCGAGATTTTTCTCTGTTATCTCTGTTATCTCTGTTCACAAAAATTTTACTAAAAGGGGAATATTCATTTGGCGTACTGTTCCGTTTTGCTTTATATATTCTGTTTTTGAACTTGATTAAAATCTGCCCGGTACTTAAAAGGAACTTGAGTTTAAAATTGCGTATCATTAGTTTTTTGCAACCCATCTTTTACTGCTTAAATTTATCCATTTGAATTATTAATGTACTTTCACGATTAAAAACAAACATTTATTTAGATAATTCCCCCCCTCCCCCCCCCCTTCTTCACAGGACAGTTAAACCAAATTAAGGATGAATTATCAACCAAACAAACATTTTCTAAATTTGAGAAATGTATTTTATTTTTTATTTTTCATCTTCTAATAACCAATGACAAAGAAGAATCAAAACGTCTTTATCGTAAAGGAAACAAACTTAAATTTTTATAATCCTATAATTTATAATTTTATTTATATCTTTGCAACCTGTAGGTGAAAACTTTTGATAATTTAAACTTAGACTATTTGATCTGACATAACTCATAGTTTGAAATATCTAAGGCCTACGACATGAGGTTGCAAAGGTATAGGGATTAGACAATCAGAGTTTGTGAAAAAGAAGTTAGAGTTAGTTAGTTAGTACGTCGATATTATAGATTTGGTAATTTAATTTAATTATTTTTAACCTTTTGGTTTGGTCTATCTTGAGGTAGGTTTGAATAGGTCGGCCAATCCTCTTCGCATGCTTCACATTCACAATAAAACAGAAAATGTTCCTAAAATATTTGAATTTTTTTTTCCAAATTTTTGGTTCGTTAACCGCGTTGCTTTTCTTTTAAACTGCGTAATATGAAGACGACATTAATGCAATCTATCGTGTCTTTGATTTTATTATAAAACAAATACAATTTACCAGGATCATAAACATGAAATGGATTTGTGTACACTGTGCAACTGCTTTGTGTCATGTTCATTGGATTACTCAAAATAAAGACTGGAATCTAACAGTCGTCTTCCTATTCCACAGTTTTATTAAACCCAAACACAAATCAGGTAGATAAAGATACACCATTGACGCGGACCGCCTTGCCCGAAGAGCTGCATATTGATTTCTAATTCGAGTAAATCAATCAATCAAGATTGAGGTTTTTAGGGTTAAATTGTTTATGTTGTGTACATTATTTATGTCTGCATAGTGAGTCAAGTGGTTACAGCCACAGGGGGGAAGCATTTGGCTAGAACTTAGTCTCAGTAATCATGAACGTACGTAACAAATACTTTCTTTCTTTAAGTCCAATGTGCAATTTTACATGAACATTGCGGTTTTGCGCTTCTTTAACCCGACATGTACCGCCCTGGTACGCGTCAAACCTCCATCTTTGTCTACCTTATCTGTGGCCCCAATGACAGGTCAGGTAAGAATAGGTTGACACTTCTGCAAGTTTAAAACATTCCCGCAATGTTCATGTAAAATAGCACATTGTGCTTAAAGAACGTAAAAACCACACTGTGGTAATATACGACTACGATTCTACACCTCGATTGATTGATTAACTCGAAATAAACAGCTATTATACATGCAGCTGACTAATTAGTAAATTTCTTTCAGGCTAGATAGGTAGGGCCGGGGGTATGCGTCAATGATCCATCTATGTCCACTCGATGAACAAGTAGTTGTTGACATTTCAACTAAGATAAAAGTCGTCTTTTTCAAACCTGAATCCAAGGGCGACGGGTTACTGTTGGCAGCTCGCTAAAATGAATGCAGTAATTGTCCATTACTTCTTGGCCTGAAAAAAAGGTTGTTCTCATTTTAAATTTTGCTAAATGAGAAATATTTATATTTTTTTTTCAATTGGATTTTTGAAAATCTAAAACTTTTCAGTTCAGCTTTTAATTAAGCTTAAACATTAAATGGCTCATACGGATAAAATTAATTTTTTGTGAAAAAAATTAAATTTTAACGCTAAGACAACGATTTACCTCTTTTGATATTTTTAGATGCTATCAGCAACATTTTTTTACCAATGTTAACCCTGTTCACAAAAAGCGGATTAAAAACATCAATATTAAAACAATTTTTATTTCGACCCTATTTTAGACTTAAAAACGTATTAATTGTAAACTTTAATCAATATAAAACAAGGTTTTTTCTCTCGTTTTTTTCTGCAACTTTTCCCTAAATGTGTTTGGATTGCAATCACTGTTAAAATAGCTTCCAATCCCAGTATAGAGGCCAGCACCTAGACACCATATCTATTAATCTATCTGTCTAACTGTCTATCTGTCTATCTGTCTATTGTCTATCTGTCTATTTGTCTATCTGTCTATTTGTCTATCTGCCTATTTGTCTATTTGTCTATCTGTATATCTGTCTACGTGCCTATATTTCTATGTGTATATCAATCTATGTGTCTATCTTCATAGTTGCCTATCTGTCTATTTGTCTATCTGTCTATTTGTCTATCTGTCTATTTGTGTATCCGTCTATTTGTCAATGTGTAAATCTGTCTATGTATGTGTCTATCTTTCTATGTGTCTTTCTGTCTATGTGTCTATATGTATTTGTGTCTACACGTATCTGTCCGTCTACACGTATATCTGCCAGTCTATGTGTTCCTAACTGTCTATATCTACACGTATATCTGTCAATCTATCTGTTCCTATCTGTTTATATCTGCACATATATCTGTCAATCTATCTGTACCTATCGGTTTATATCTGCACGTATATCTGTCAATCTATCTGTTCCTATCTGTTTATATCTGCACGTATATCTGTCAATCTATCTGTTCCTATCTGTTTATATCTGCACGTATATCTGTCAATCTATCTGTTCCTATCTGTCTATATCTGCACGTATATCTGTCAATCTATCTGTACCTCTCTGTTTATATCTGCACGTATATCTGTCAATCTATCTGTAACTATCTGTTTATATCTGCACGTATATCTGTCAATCTATCTGTACCTATCTGTCTATATCTGCACGTATATCTGTCAATCTCTATACCTATATGATCTTTCCCGATTTTATCTTTCTGTGACCTGCTAACTCCCCAGATTGGATGAGAATTCATGTCCTAAATATTATGAAAAAATAAATTTGATTGGATTTCTAAAATGAATATGTTTAAAACAAATTGAATTGTGGTTGGTTCTTGATCTAGATGTAATTTTTTGATTAATATCTTTTTGCATGTGTTTACAGTTTACCTTAGAACTTCGGATACATTGAAAGAATTTATAAAATGTCGTCTTCCGTATTTAATTATGTTTACAATTACTTAGATTTAGACATAATAGTAAAACCCATTGAAAAATTGTCAAGACGACATTTTATAAATTCTTTTGATGGCTTCTAAGTTCTGGATTATACTGTAAAAAGTATAATTTTTATTTTCAATATGATTTTTAGTAAATTCTTAAAGGGCATTCATTAAATATTTTTTTTTTCTCTTTGCATCCTCTATTTTCCAATCATTTAATATCATTTTTTATTGTTTTGAGAACTGCAATATTGTAATATTTTTCTTCAACTATTAATACTTTTCAATATACAGTTGGACCCATAAAACTGTGGAATAGGAAAACGACTGGTATACTCAATTTGTGATTTTAAATAGTCCAGAACTTGAAACATAACAGCTGTGCAGTCTACACAGACACATTTAACTTTTTTCAAGCTACAGCTAAGAAATTTTGTTTCATTACAACATAGTTGTCTATATGAAGTCTTCATATTTCGTAGTTTATGGGGCTCACTGTATTATATACCACTTACATACCAACCTGTATAAGTCTCAGCTTGTACATGAGTTTACCCAACAAAAGTTCCTTAAAAAATATTACAAATTTAATAGATAAATTGAGTGCTTGTCAACCACTTCAGTTTACCACCCTACTCTACCAACTGCCATCTAAAATCTTCTTAAAAATAAGTTTTACGCATTAATATATAATAGAATGGATATATAATAGTGAAGGTTTGATGTAACTTTACGGTTGAGATAGTGGTCGTGTAGTTCACGTACTTTGGGGGACGATATGTTGCCCAATAGATGGCCACATTCTTTATTCTTATCAGATAGATAGATAATTTCTTCGTACACTTGACGACCAAAATACGTCAAGTTGTCGATCAATGGAAGGCACGGTCTCTGACAAATGCCTCACTATCTCAATCAATTTTGATGGTACAAAAATGGCGGACCGCATTTTGGAAAGCTCAAAACATGACGCATAAGATGCTTCTGCTTAATCCAGTGCCTACAATTTAATTTCATGAATTGGACTCAAATTATTTTTATAAACGAACGATTGCCAGAATAAAAAATTTGTTAGAGTGTACGCCATGCAGATGTTTAAAAATTTCCCAAAAAGATCTAGGGTCCACCGAGATATAACAGCTGTGAAACATAACCACAAAATTACATGTACGCTAGCCAAGAATAGCATATGATCGGTAGATAGAAGCATATCTATAAGTGGACTGTGGTTTTACATACATTAATATTTACTAATTTCAGTTATAATAATTACTGCAGAAAAATATTTAGTTTTTAATTGATGACTGGTGAATAAATGAAAAATTAATTATGAATAATTAGTGCATTTCCAACCAATTTATAGTGAAAAGAACGCTACCTGTTGAGAAAACTTTTCAGCTGGAGTTTCAAGTCCGCCATCTTTGTAATATGTCGTCTTCCTTAATCACAAAACAAAGTTAATACAACGTCCGTTTAAATATATTCGTATACATTGATTGAATATTTAAACGCTTAAGGCCGACCCTATTCGAAGTTTCAATTAGTTCATATATTTTTGAAATTTCCAAAGCGACACTTTCCCGAATACCCTAGCTGCACAGGGCTCGGCCCCCCCCCCCAGTGTAACCTAGCAATGATGCAAGTTAAGAATAGCTGTGCTTTAAAATTATGATTTATAAACTTACAAAATCTTTTTTTCAGACAAAAAATACTTTTGGAAAATACCTTTCGGAAAAAATTCATTTTATGAATATTTGACTAAAAATTGCTATTTAAATATTAGCTACGTATGCGAAATCGCCCTCAAGAAAATGCACGCAATCCTTGTATTTTGTTATTTAAAATATATGTACTCTTTTATTCAGTATTATTTGACGTTGTCCAGGTTTATGGTATTATTCATATAGTTACTCCAGCACTTGGAATCAAATTATAATTTTATGATTTTAACGCGGGAAGAAAAAAATATGATTTATTTAGCATTTATATTTTTCCTACCTCAAAGCTCTGAGAAGAAGGACGACTACGAGGGAGTGGCGAGCATGTGTTTCCTCTGACACTTCTTTCTCGTTCATCGCCATCTTGAAATAATAAGTTACACACCAACAACACCTAGCGGTAGACTTTAAAACTAAAGTTTACCTGGAACAGCAGTGAAAATTTCTCCACATCGTTGTTTACTGGAACTGGCCAGTCCCCACTACTAGACGGCTCCAAAAACTCTCTCTAAATGTGTAAAAAAGTTCAAATCTTGGATAGGTGAACTAAACTGAATTTAATTTGTCTTACTGTACTGTATTGTACTGTTCTGTACTGTATTGTCCTGTACAGTATTGTACTTAATGGTATTGTACTTTACGGTATTGTACTAAACGGTATTGTACAGTACGGTATTNAGGTCAACTTTTCGGTCCCTTTAAGAGTACCGAGTACCGTTGTTGATCGTGAAATGCCATCTTTGCATGTAGGATTACTTGAAATTACGCTTGCCTTCCCTTTAACAAGATAAACATTTTCTTGAATTTTGACAAGGTTTCCTAACAACCTTACAGAAGTATTTGTTGTACCAGTTGTACTGAACACATATATAACAGAAAAGAAAAGAAAAAGTTTTTTTTTCTTCTATGAGCTACACTACAATATAGAATTTCATAACTTTTTTTGTATAATAATCATTATAATGCAGTTCATTAAATCATTATAACAAGTTTTTAAACTGCTAAATTCAAAATCAATAAATTTTTTGAAAACGTGAAATAAATTTTTTAAAAATGCATTTACCTTCTGCTTCAGCTTTACATAAGGGACTGCAGAAAACAACTCTTCAACGATTTTAAAAATTAATTTGCAAATTTTTTAAGATTCTTCTATATAGATTCTAGAATTTTATACAGATTCTAGAATGCTAAAAAAAGAAAACAAATGTTGAGAGCAAGAAAAAAAATCTAATATATATGCATATATGTCAGCTATAGCCGGCCAAATGGGTAGACCAAATTGGCTAAACATTTTATAGGGAACCCTTGAGTACCCTGGGGGCTAAATAAAATACAAAACTTTATTTTCCTAATATTTTTTGTAATTTCAAAAAATTCCTAGGACAGGTTGAACAAGGGTAGGGGACTTCAACCCCAACCAAACAATTCAAACAGTACTGAACCACCTAAATACAGAAGAGAAAAAGTATGAATACAAATTTAAAATACAAATAAGAAAATGAAGAAAGAAAAGATATAAATTTAGAAAATATTGCCGAAAATAAAGTATGACAAAATGATATATTCTATAAATACAATTCTGATTTCTCGGATTAAAGCTTTTTTTCGAAAAAGACTAAACACAAATAATTAAAATATTGTATAGAAGTAAAAACTAAAAATACTAATAAAAAAATGAAAAAAATAGATAAAGATAAAATAAAAATATTGATGAAAATAAAGCATAACAATTCTTAACATTTCTTGGAAATACAAATCTGATTTTTTTAATCAAAACTTTTTTCTAAAAAGATGGATTTGTCTAATTTTTTTATATTTAGATTGAAAGTCCCGTAAATGCGTACTCAGTGAATGATATAACAATTGCAGCTTTAAATAATTGATGGTACTCAATTTTGTAGAGGAAATACTGGACTACTGGTATTGAAATATCAACTACGGTCTTCAATACGGTATTGAAAATTTAATACAGTATTGAAAATCCAATATGGTATTGAAAATTCAATACAGTACTGAATATTCAATACGATATTGAAAATTCAATACAGTATTGAAAATCTAATACAGTATTGAAAATTCAATACAATATTGAAAATTCAATACGGTGCTGACAATTCAATACGGTGCTGACAGTTCAATACGGTGCTGACAATTCAATACGGTGCTGACAATTCAATACGATGCTGACAATTCAATACAGCTCTGACAATTCAATACGGTGCTGACAATTCAATACAATGGTGACAATTCAATACGGTGCTGACAATTCAATACGGTGCTGACAATTCAATACGGTGCTGACAGTTCAATACGGTGCTGACAATTCAATATGGTGCTGACAATTCAATACGATGCTGACAATTCAATACGGTGCTGACAATTCAATATGGTGCTGACAGTTCAATATGGTGCTGACAATTCAATACGGTGCTGACAATTCAATACGGTGCTGACAATTCAATACGGTGCTGACAATTCAATACGATGCTGACAATTCAATACGGTGCTGACAATTCAATACGGTGCTGATAATTCAATATGACAATTCAATACGGTGCTGACAGTTCAATACGGTGCTTACAATTCAATACGGTGCTGACAGTATAATACGGTGTTAAAAATTGAAGAACGATATTGACAGTTTAGTACGATATGATTGAAAGAAATAATGATATTAAAAAATAAAGACCATATAGTACCTGAGCAGCATTATCTGGATTTAGATGAGGACCTATAGCATCCACAACTGCTAAGATTGACCCAACTGCAACAAAAAAGCATTTATTTCTTCAGAGTCTATTTCTATGCAGAATTTAATGAATTGCTCATAAATATGAAAATAATATTTTCATATTAAAGTAAAAAAACATCCTTTGATAAAGAAGTTTAAAACTGTAAAATCCTACTCATTATGTTAATCTTACGTCATGTGCAGTACGCAGTTCGCATAGATTAATAAAAAAGTATACAAATGACGTCATAGCAACTACGGTGGTAGACGATAATATCAATACAAGGAAGTTTATTTATTTCTTTATTCTTTATTTCAGTTTTAATTGTTAACAAGCTTTTTTCGAATCACAAGATACAAATCCAAATTGAAATCAAAAGTCGTCTTCATTATATTGATATAATCGCCTACCACTGTATGTATTTTTATAAAAAGTTTATGAATTTCTTTTCAACATACTGACTTTTTCCGTTAAGTTTTTTTTCTAAAACACACTAAATATTAGGCAATTTCGTAAAAAATAATTATATTTCATTTCGATACGACCTTGAGGTCATGTGGGTTTCCACAAAAATTTGTCGACCTGGTCGATTCAGGCGTGACGTTTATCGGTCACAAACAAACAAACAGACGAACAAAGTATGTATATTGTATATGTTAAATATATATATATATATATATTTATAAATCAAAAGTCGATTAATGTACGAATCATCTGCGTTTTCGTGGATAAATCAAAATTTTGTGTGTATTTATTTAAATTATGGAAAACCTATGCACAACAAGTTTGAAAAAAAATTAAATAAAAAAAGTGTCTGCCATCAGTAGATATTGTTATACGTTAATTTATTTGATCAATTGACAATGAATTTAAAACAATTATCTTTGCATTCAACTGTTAAAATGACTTTTTCAAAATCTATATATAATATTGTGGAAGTCCACGAACATCGTCTTCCAGTCCGGAAGCTCTGAATCCAAACCAAATATATTCATAGTATTTTTAATCAATATAAATACAGTTCATTTATTTTGTCTTATATCCTCTTCGCTACAATATAATATATATATATATGTTTGTTTGTGACCGATAAACGTATTTAAGTATATGAAAGTATTTCTTTCCTTGAAATTTCAAAGAAAAGTTTTGACATATTTTAGATCAGGATATAGATGTATATTTGAAAATATTTTAAAAGTTTAAAAGTCTGAACCTGGAATATTATTTTTCGCAAATGCATTTCTCCCTTTTCCCACAGTTTCCAGAACTTCAACCTTCAAAAGAAAACTTTAATCAAAACTTTGTCTAAAATCTAAGAATATTAAAATCATATTTTTCCACAAGGCCAAACTTATCCTAAAATTATTTTGCTTGAGGTCATTAGTTTTCTGTTTTATAAATAGATATTTAATATGACTTTAAGTGAATTAAAGATTAAAAGGAAGTTTTTGAGATTGTACATCGTAAATTTAAAGGGACTATAGGCCTAATTTTATGTGACCATCCATTTGAAGATTTTAAAAAGGACGTCGTTTTAACATTAGGGTTTCCAGCGAAAAGAAAAAAATCGCTTTTCTCGCGAACATTTTTCTTTCGCACCCATTTTGCTTTATTTTCGCATTTTGTTTGCTCGCGAAAAATATTGAAATTATTAAAAAAAACACGAAAATTTCGCAAAAAATACAGAATTTTCAAAAACAAATGCAAAATTTTAGCGAAAAAAATGCGAAAATTCATCAAAAAAAACTAAATTTTGAGAATACAAGACTCATTTTCTGCGAGCCCAATTGATGGATTTATCCGCGAGTCCAATTGATGGATGAACACATATATAAGTATAGATTTAAGAACGACTAAGAGACATCAGACAATTCATAGATTCATAGATTCATAGATGAACCGTTAAGGTCTTCTTAAAACACAAAACAAAATCTACGGGAAGAACCAAAATAATTCGGAAACTTTAAAAGATAGCTAGTGAAATCAAATTCTCTTCATCAAACATTTATTGAAGTAAAGGAAGAGAAATTATTTATATGACATAATAAAACTTCAAATATGGAGCTATCAAAGCACAGAATTCACAAGTTCTTTTGAGAAATTGATTTTTGCAGCTATAAAACTCATAGTTTTCACAAAATTTTCGCATTTCGCATTTTCGCGAAAAAAAAATTCGCGAAATTTCGCTTTGTTTTCGCTTCATTTATTTCGCGAAAAATGCGAAATTTCGTGAAAAAGTTTGCAAAATGTGACCAAAAATTTTTTCGCGAAACATTTCGTTCCCTGGAAACCTTAGTGTAAGGGTGAAATCTATTATTATCATTAAACCTGATCAGTAACTCTTGGATCTATATTGCTTGGATTAAGTGGCTTGAAATCTTCAACCGTCTTCTTTACATCATCGGCCTTAAAAAAAAATATAATTTTTTATAAAAATTTTATAAAATATCATTTTTTTTGTTTTCTTACAAGACTTATTTGTAATCTCTAGAAGCTTAATTTGTGATTGAAATATAAACATATAATACATTTTAAAGCATATTTAAGATTCAACGAAAATTACATTTCGAGGCATTAAGCCAATAGTAATACGCTCGACTTATGTTATTCTAATGATTGCATAATTGTCTTTAAAATAAATTAATAATGTGAAGTTAATATGAAGCTTATGTTTGATGACTTGATAATTATTTTTATTTGTAGGACACTTCCTTTCAATATGGGACATGTTGGAATCAATTCTGAAATTGAACTGGGCGTTTGAAATCGTTTGTACTTTAGTAAAGCCGTTAAAAAATCAAAATACAATCAAGATCACGGCTCCACTTTAGAAAACTAAGTATACGTTCTGAACCTAAATTTGTGTCCAATATTATATAACGGGAAGGCGTAGTACATTTGAATTTCCAAGCCAGGTCAACTTTTCGGTCCCAGTTTGTACTGTATCGTAAAGCAGACACTCAATATGACTAGCCGGTGCAACAAGGTAAACGCAGTCAGACTTTAGGTTGAATTTACTTTTACTAAAGGGTCAGAGGTGCGCGATAAACACTACAAACAGGCAGGAGAAGAAGGTCAAATTAATGTAACATTATTACTACGACGTTGTGACCTCGGTGCTCCTCTAATTTTTATTTTTCGTAAAAGTAAGAGAAAAGAAAATGTATCCGGTTATATATTAGAATTTTAAAACCATGTTCATTCTTCTTAATGGCTCTTTAAAAGAGAAGTTATGATTGAACAAAGATAATATTTCAATCTAATGTGCAGTTTACTTTATTTTAACGAGAATAACCTTAGCAGAGAACTTGTTGATACAGTCTACCAGTATCTTGTTGAACTCCTTCCTGGTGTTCTCGTTCAGGTTCAAGGCCTGCTTGTTCACCAGTTCAAGGGCTGTAGTAAAGCTGGAAACAGCCTGAAATAATTTTTCCATATTTAGAAAACTTGAGATCGAAACTTTTGTATGGTTAATCCCTTCAGAAAGCACTAATCCTTTTATGCTGTTGTTCAACAGATTAAGTCAATTCCTTGGAGATATTACAAGTTTAATTTTGGGATCAGCTTTTCTTCACGGATCAAGAACTTAATTACAAAATTATAAGTTTCCAATGGGAATATCGAAATGTAGATTAATAAATGTTCAAAACTAATTTTATTGTAAATTTTATTTTTGCAAAAGTTTATTTCATGATTTTGTTTGTGTTTAAAACATTATAGAACATCTAGTTTCTGGTACAGGATTACTCACAAAAAATGAGCCTTCAGAGACGACTGTATTAAGTGTAAACTGCCTGTTTCCTTAAATTCACGGTTCTCTGTTATTTGGAAAACAAACCATTAAGCGAAAGTACATACATATTAACCTTGAAATTATCACATTTATAGAGTTTAAGCTCATCAATACATTCTCATTTTTTATGTGTACCCCTGTATATACTATTTTTACCTTTTTGTAAGATTTCTTTTTTATAAAACATTGTCCAATCTTATGATGTATTTTGAATTGCTGTTCAAGGTTATATCTAAAAATAAGGAATTGTTAGTTTTGGATAAATTATTTATTTCCCTGATTTAACTGTTTTAAACACGTTATTATTGATTATTAAGTCTTTGGACGGAAATTTTCTCTTTATTAAGAACTTTAGAGATATACAGAGCAAATGTAAAGGAACTGTTTGGAAAAATACTGAGCAAATGTAAAGGAACTGTTTAGAGATATACAGAGCAAATGTAAAGGAACTGTTTAGAGATAAACAGAGCAAATGTAAAGGAACTGTTTTGAGATATACAGAGCAAATGTAAAGGAACTGTTTCGAGATATAAAGAGCAAATGTAAAGGAACTGTTTCGAGGTATACAGAGCAAATGTAAAGGGACTGTTTCGAGATATACAGAGCTAATGTGAAGGGACTGTTTCGAGATATACAGAGCAAATGTAAAGGGACTGTTTCGAGATATACAGAGCAAATGTAAAGGGACTGTTTCGAGATATACAGAGCTAATGTAAAGGGACTGTTTCGAGATATACAGAGCTAATGTAAAGGAACTGTTTCGAGATATACAGGGCAAATGTAAAGGGACTGTTTCGAGATATACAGAGCAAATGTAAAGGGACTGTTTCGAGATATGTAGAGCTAATGTGAAGAGATCTTACTTGTATTTTATAAGATATGATCTTACTTGTATTTGATAAGAGATATAACTTGTATTTATAAGATATATTTTTTGTATTGTAATAGAGAATAGAGATATTACTCTTATTTTATAAGAGATATTATTTGTATTTTATAAGAGATATTACTTGTATTTTATAAGATATATTTCTTGTATTGTATTAGAGAATAGTGATATTACTTTTATTTTATAAGAGATATTACTTGTATTTTATAAAAGATATTACTTATATTTTATAAGAGATATTACTTTTATTTTATAAGAGATATTACTTGTATTTTAGAAGAGATATTACTTGTATTGTATTAGAGAATAGTGATATTACTTGTATTTTATAAGAGATATTACTTGTATTTTATAAAAGATATTACTTGTATTTTATAAGATATATTTCTTGTATTGTGTTAGAGAAAATTGATATCACTTGTATTTTAGAAGAGATATTACTTGTATTTATAAGAGATATTACTTGTATTTTATTGCTAGCTTGAAGTCCGTAATTGCTTGATTCCAGCGGGCTGCTGCCATCAGTGCATTGCCCCTAGGTAAAATTTGTATTGTGTACTGTATTGTACTGTACAGTGAGTACAGTGTACAGCCAGGTAAAATGTGTATTGTATACTGTATTTGTACTGTAGAGTGAGTACAGTGTACAGCTAGCTATGTTCTATAGTCGGCCCGTTCTGTAGCGCGTAAGAAAAAAGTCGGTTCCACGTCAGAAAAAATCTATTTCTAGATTATCATTAATGATTTGGTTCTGGTTTATATGTCAGGGTATTCAGGCGTATACCATTTAAATGGAAACATTCGATTCACTTTCTACATCTTCCAGACATACTTTTCACCCTCAGTCACTCTCATCTTCCTTTCTCTCCCGCCTTCCCTCTTTCTCTCCCACCTTCCCCCTTTTTTCTTTACTTCCCCCTTTCTTCCCCCTTTCTCTCCCATTTCCCTTTTTCTTTTCCCCCTTCCCTTAATTCTTTATCTCCCCACTTGACCCTTTCTCTCCCATTGTCCCCTTTCCCTTCTTTCTCCCCATTCTTTCTTTTTCTCCCCCCTTCCCCATCTCTCTCACCTTCCTAATTTCTCTGCCATTTCCCTCCTCCCCTTTCTCTTCCCGCTCTAAGGTATGGGATCTGGGGGGGAGATGTATGAAATCAGGATATTTCTTGATATTTCTTGTTTCAAATAAACATTAGATATTTCAACTATCAGGTTGAACCAGTTTTGCCTTAAGAGATATTTATAATTTTCGGGAAGATAAAAGAACAGTTTAGAAATAGAATTCACCGGAATCAGAGTTCGACTGTTTTCAATTATTTGGCCTAAACTGGAATTTCCGATTTTCCAAGCTAATAATAATCCATGTTTCAAAAAGTCTGCTACAGCCTACTAAAGAAGTTAAGCTTTGCATTACAATATCGGACAACTTATGTTTATATCTCTGGGAATCGTTTTCAAACTTTTAAAGAATCAACGTGGCTAAATTTGATTTCTTTCAAAATATAAATGGAATGGACCATCAGGTTACAGAGAAAAGGATTAACAAATTTAAATTTGTGACACAGACTCATCTCCTTTAACCCCCCCCCCCCCCCCGAGGGAGTTTTTATTTTCATTGTTGCTAATTTCGTTTGTAATTTTAAATGGTGTTCCTTTATAGAGCACTGGCTTTACCATGGACCTTTATAAATAAAGTTTTAGAATAGCGGGATTCAATGAAAATTGTTACATATAAAAAAAACATGTTTTTATTAAAGTAACATATATATTTATATACCTGTGGAAATACACAAGACCAATGTAATCCTCAGCAGTCATCAAAACTGCTAAATTCAAATCTCTGAAATAAAAATATATTACTGAACAAATATTAAAAACATATTATCAACAACATCAAAATACTGTGAAACCTCTGAAATCTATATATATACTTTGCTTGTCTGTCTTTGTGTTTGTTTGTTTGTTAACACGGCTGAACCGACGTGATCGGGCCCAAACTTTGTGTGGTACCTCGCATGACCCGGTGGAAAATTTATGAACGCTCAGAATTACAAAAAGTTGTATCCTAAAGTTTTAGATTTTTAAATTTTTTTAAAATGCGCGAATTTTTTTTTTAATTCGCAAACTTATTTTTAGCCTTTTTATTATTCTTTTTATCAGCTGGATATTTGAAAATCTGCAAGCTTTTAGTATTATTTTATACTGTACAAAGGGAAGAGGCTGACAGATAGAACCATCATTAAAAGTTAATATAGAGGATGGGTGCGAAGCGCCTTAAAAGCCACGCAAATATAAAAATAAATAAGAGTCTTCTTGTCTTTTGTTATTCATACCATTTATTTAATAGAATGTTTAAACATAAAATTACATTACATATTTTTAAGTACAGGGTTACGCACAAAAGACAAGAGTGCAAAGACGACTGTTCAAAAATCGAAATTATTCAGTCTGTTGCCTTATATATTTGAGTCTCTGCAACTAACCTTGCCAGATCATTAAACAAGCCATTTAAAGACCATATTTAAGGCAGACATCTTTATTTTTAAATTTAGAATGGTCATATTTGAAGAGTTTCAAGTCGTCTTCACAGTCTCATCCTTTATGGGTAACCATGTATATTACCTGACTGGGCTTTTCTCGTTTACAACTGCCTGAAAAAATAATAATATTTTAAGGGACTGTTCGATAAAATCAAAGGTGATGTAGGATAAATTCTCTATCGATTTTTAATTCCTTATGATGTTTATACGAAAAATGCAATTAAACCCATTTTTTTTATCAATATCGAGTTAATATCAAAGTAAGAACCAAAATTGTTCAATAAACGTTGGTACATGATTTTAAAGTAAAAGAATACTCTTAATCTAACATATATTGTACAGAGTGACCCATTAAACATGGAAATTGAGAGACGACTTGAAAGTCGTCTTTAATTTCAGATATTTAATGCATGGCAAAGAAAGTAAAAAAACGAGGTTGTGCGTCTGACGAGCTTTTCATAAAGTGGTCTATACCTTTTCTGTATCTTAAAAATTGACAAAGATATTCGATATTACGACAATTTTTATTTAATAAATAAATATTAATATCTTTGCAACCAAAGAGAATAGAATATATATTAGAGGGGAATTTAATAGAAAAAAGTGTAAAACGGCCATTTTGTTGTACTGTTTCCATACTGCAGGTGTACTTCACATATTTATGCTATATAACCTTTTGGGCCCTGGAATATCATTTTATAGAAAATCTAAAATTAATGTTAAAGAAAACCAAATTATGAAATAGGCTGGTTTCATAATTGACCAATGATTATTTCACATAGACTCTATGCATTTTTACTTTACAAACGATGATTTTCCGTTATAACTATGAATCAAATGATGTTTTTTATTCACTTAATTCATTATAAAGTTTATTTAACAGCTTTAAAAAATTCGAAATTGAAATGAATAGTCTAGGGAACATACTGTATTAATGTACTCTATTGCATATAATTTGTGAACATTTACATGATTTGTACACTTTGAACTCCCTTTCAGGCTGAAAGGGACTGAAAAAATTCATACCGAGAGATTTTCTAAATTCCCCTGTAATATATATTCTATTCTCTATGTTTGCAACCCAATGTCGTAGACCTTCGATATTTCAAAATATGATTTTTTTCGTTCAAACCATCTAAGTTTGAAATATCAAATGTTTACAAGATCATGATGCAAAGATATAGTTATTAGACATTTTGAGTTTGTGACAAAGACTCAATTCCTGTGTACAAATTTCGCAATATCCCTGTCAATTTTGAATATACAAAAATTGTATACTACATTTTGAAAATCTGAAGACTAAGCGTTTTCGATATCAAAGATGTTTAAGCTGGAATACTGCAATAGTTGTGTTCATGAAATATTAACGCATGACGATTTAAAAGTCGCCATTGATTTCCCATGTTTATTGGGAAACCCTGTATGTTATAAGATAAATTTTCAAATTATTGTTTCCGACCATGAAGACATTTTTTTTCCAGAAAAAATGTCTCTCAAGATCTATCTATCTATCTATCTATCTATCTAGTTATCTATATATCTATCTATCTATCTATCTATCTATATATCTCTCTATATATCTATCTATCTATCTATCTATCTATCTATCTATCTATCTATCTATCTATCTATCTAGTTATCTATATATCTATCTATCTATCTATCTATCTATCTATCTATCTATCTATCTATCTATCTATCTATCTATCTATCTATCTATCTATCTATCTATCTATCTATCTATCTATCTATCTATCTATCTATCTATCTATCTATCTATCTATCTATCTATCTATCTATCTATCTATCTATCTATCTATCTATCTATCTATCTATCTATCTATCTATCTANAGTTTTCGAATTAAGTTAACTGTCTGATTTTGAAAAAAAATCGTATTTTCTTTATTTGTAAATAGTGTTCTGTTCGTGACTGCCTGTGCATGACAGATGAAAGTTTGTTCGTGTGGGAGTGTGTCTGTTTGTACAGGAATGATATACTTCCAGTCGAGAGATGGTTCTTAACCATTGTGCATGTGCAAGATACCACTGTGCAAAAAGTGCATTTTGTGACACAGTTCAGTGCAGTTTGTTGCAACAAGTGTCAAGGAAGTAATATTGGCAAACTTGTTTTTGGATATTTTGATAATTTTGGTGAATTAATGACATTAATCATTAAAAAGGTTGTTTAGGACATCATTTAGGACTTTGCATTTTATAATTAACAAATTATTGTAAATATAGATCATTCCTATGGGTTCTTCCGAGCTCCCCGATTTGAGGCAAATCGGTCAAGGGGTTCCTGAGTTATGATCGGACAAACACACAGAGATTACTACTTTATATATTTTAGATAGAAGATATATTACACTGGAATGTTAAAATATTTGTAATTAAAACGAGTTTAAAATTTTCAAACAATTTTTTGTGTTTAATGTTTATTGTGATATATGGAAAACTTTATAAACTTGATTTTGCAAAAAGCATATGCATTTTGCAATGCGTATTCTCTAATCTCATTTCTTTATTCATTTAGCTTGAAAACCCAGCTTTTTTATACAACTATACACTATGAGGAATTCTGTACGCTCTGTAACTCGAATTAAGAAAATTATTCAAACAAATATGTGTTTTGTAAAATATGCATTTACAAATGTTGCATAATTTTCACCAAAAGAAAGATTACAGAGATGTTCAGTGCAAATTAATTTTTTGCATGAACTTCAAATTTGAGTAATATTTAGTCTTAACATTGAAATGATTATAACTTTTCAGTACAAATAATTCTTAAACAAATGAATAACTAAATTTATTCTATTTCAGACACAAAAAAATGAGCAATTCATATCTATTGCGAATTTCTCTAAACGCACTTAAATACAAGTGCGATGAGATTGCGTAACTTTATACAATGATGATTTTCGGCTGCGTACAATGAAATGCGAAATATTTATGATAACGTACAATGAAAATGCGTAGATTGACCGGAAAGTTGTGCGTCAAGAAAATATCATTACGCTTGAAGTGGACACTAAGGCATTGAATCAATCAAAAGAAAAATTGTAATAGAACATTTATTTGTAAAAGGGATTGTACGTGTATTTTAATTTCAAGTAGGGCTGGGCACGTTTTAACTTTTTAAGCCGTTTTGCTAACGGTTAGTTCCAACCGTCTTTTTAAAAAATCTCAGCCGTTAGTTTTAGAAGGTAAGAACGAAACTTCGTTTCATTAACTTTAGGTTGAATTTTCTTTTCCTAA